TCTTGGCCTTCACTGAGATTGGGGTGGGTGCAGGGGCCTCTGGCCTCGCGGGGGGGATGGGGCAGCTCTGCTTGGGTGTGGGGGGCTGCTGAGGCCTCCGGAAGGGACAGGGGGGGCTCTGGTCATGCTGGAGTGCGTCAGCCCTGAGGAGCTTGGAAAGGTCTCCGGTGGCTCATGGAGGTTTTGGATCGTTTCATTCTGCTCAACTTGTTATCACTCATGTTGCTTTTCCTCATTTTTCTGCAGACCTCTCAGTTTTTCGTAACTGTCTGAAGTACAGAAGGCCCCATCATGGATTTCCAACATCGTCCTGGAGGTAAAACTGGAAGTGGAGGCGTAGCCTCCGCTTCCGAAAGCAACCGCGACCGCAGGGAGAGACTTCGGCAGCTGGCGCTGGAAACGATCGACATCAACAAGGTGAGCGCTGCCCCGCTGCGTGAGCAGGAGCGGAGGGACGCGGCGCCCCGGCCTGCAGGCTGTGCCTGAGCGCGGAGCCTGAACGAGGCCGTTTGGATTAGGAGAGTTTTGGTGGAGAGTTGTGGATTTGAATGAAATATTTCTGCGTCTTTTAATGTGGGAGTTGCAAGAGAAACATTTGCGAAAGGACTGAACAGAGAGATGCCAATGCTTGTGTGTTCGAGGAGCCACTATTATGTTATTTTGGGGTTTCTCAGGGCTGGTTCGTATTTTGCTGTTTCTTCACAGCGGGATATGCTGTTACCAATTAACAAAATTACTATTGTTTGTCTCTCATATTTCCAGAACAATGTTATGCTAATAATGTAAACCCAGGAACTCATTCTTCCAGTTCAGCAGAAATTCTGCATTATATATTTTGATTGCTCTGTTGTTTTGCCATGTGTTTTGCTGTAACTTTTTTAAAAATTCTCTTCCTAGGACCCTTATTTTATGAAAAATCACTTGGGTTCTTATGAATGCAAGCTTTGCCTAACGCTGCACAACAATGAGGTGAGTCTGTCTCCATCTCTGTGGAAATAAACCTTTCAGAATAATGTTAACTTCAAAATCAACAGTCCAGGGTGTGTGTAATGATTGCTGAGGAGGTGGTGACTGGCGGTGGTTTGTATGCTAAGCACAGCAGTTGTGAGCAGAATGCAGTTTTTGGGTAAGTTTCCTCTCTGCTAAGGGTTAAAATATCCTTGTGGTTTGGAGCACTTTTTGCCCCTCATGGGTGACATGCATCTCTCACTTGAAAAACAGCCCTGTCTTCATTTATCTTACTTGTGTCTTGCTTTCATTTCAGGGAAGTTACTTAGCCCATACCCAAGGGAAAAAGCATCAGACCAATTTGTAAGTTCTTCTCCCTTTTAGATTTATTCTCCATTGCTTAAATGCTTCAAAATTAAGATTGTGTTCATTTATAAATCTCGAACTCTGCTCTGTAGCAGGACACTGTGCTTGAATACCCTCTGACTGCACTTGTTCTGAAGTAAAAGTGTGGCACTGGTGGGCAGGTATGGGCTGGACCTGCTCCAAACGACAGTGCCGACAAACTTGGTCTGGAGCTGAAGTTCAAGGCCAGTTACAGGATTTCTGAAGAAAGGAGGAAAAAAGAGCTTTAAGAGCAAACTGCATCGCTCTACATGAACCACGGTGTGTCTAAGCACCCTTCTCTCATGATTTCAGGGCCCGTCGAGCTGCCAAGGAAGCTAAGGAAGCTCCTGCCCAGCCTGCACCAGAAAAAGTCAAAGTGGAAGTGAAGAAATTTGTGAAAATTGGAAGGCCAGGTTATAAAGGTACAGCGGGGTGTCTGTCACGGCGGATACTTAATGCCTGGTGGAGCTTGCTAGAAGTGCAGTGCTGTGTGTATGAATTATTAATTAGTCTTTTTAGCAGATCTGGCCATGAATAAGATATGGACTTATCTCCCCATATACTTTATTGTTTAAATTATCCATGGAACATCTCTTTAGAACTGGCAGTTGAGCGAGAACCTTTTTAATAAGAGATTAATGTGCCTCAGTCACTCGGCTCTTTCTGTAATAGCGAGGCAGGAGATGGTGACACGGATTCAGTCTCTCCTCCCCTTGTTGTTGTGCTGTGCCATCTTTGCGTGATGCTCACAAATCGCTCATTGGATTTATGGCTCCATTTTTTTCCCTCAGCTCCTCATTATTTTGCTTGAACCTTTGGTCCAGCTCTCAGCCTTGTGTTGCAGTGCACAGTGTGTCAGGGTGCTTGCCCCACAGCAGCTGAATTTCAGTAGTGACCCATAGCAGCTTTGGCTAAAGACAGTGTAGCATTTTATTTGATAAATGAAAATAATCTCACAGTGTTTTGTTGAGCTTTATGCATTTTTTAGAGTCCAAGCAACATTATTTCTGCCTTTACGTGTGGTACTCAGTGTTCCTATTGCCTTTACAGTGACTAAACAGAGAGATCCAGAAACGGGCCAGCAGAGCCTTCTTTTCCAGGTAAGGGCACTGTTAGGTTCTTAGTGTCTGTATTCTCCAAGTAGAAGAGCTGCTAAGTAACTATTTCTTTCTAGGAAATATGTGAAAAATAGGAAGCCCTCTTCTCACTAGTCTGCAGCTGATGGTATTTGTGTTTAGTGGATGATCCGTGATCGTATGTGTCAAGGCAGTTCCTTTGGCAGCATTTAAGTGTTCCTTGTGGAGCTGATCTCTTCGCTTTCTTTGTAGTTGAAGGGTTTTTTCATAGGAAGGGGGACTGAGAAGGGAACGTTCTCCTTGATGTTGCAATAACTCTCGCACAGATCGATTACCCGGAGATTGCGGAGAGCATCATGCCCCGGCATCGGTTCATGTCCGCGTACGAGCAGAGGATCGAGCCCCCCGACAGGCGCTGGCAGTACCTCCTGATGGCAGCAGAGCCCTATGAAACCATCGCTTTCAAGGTAAGACTGGAGATTAACTGTTTACAGGGAGAGTTCCCCTTCTACGTTTTCTGAGACGTTAATCATTTTCTGAGACATTAATTCCCAGTGAGGAGCAGTTCAGGCATATTCTGTTCTAGACTTTGTGGGGTTAATAGAATGGAGAGGGTAGTAGGGAAGAGATGACTGGAAGTCATTAAATCCCATTGAGATTTGGTGGAGGACTCTGGCATGAAAACTAGGCTATGTGTTGAGCTCTGGGGAGCCATGGATTTCTCAGTGTCTGGCACAGAAAGGAGCCTTCTGGGCTTTGCTCCTCAGCCTTTGTGCAGATGTTGAGAGGGTCTTTTTTTTTGCCAGCACACTTGTCCTTGACCGATAGGAGAGTAACTTAATTCTTTCCTGCTCCCATCTCTATCTAATAACATCCGAGACCAGTGCATCTCACAAAGGCCTGGAATAACTGTGCTTATCTCGCAGGCTCTTGTGCTAAAAAGGGCCATTGAGCTAATCTGGCCGTGCTAAGAATAGCTCCGTAGCTCCGTCGTCTTCTTTTTTGTTGCAGGTGCCAAGCAGAGAAATCGACAAAGCAGAAGGGAAGTTTTGGACCCATTGGAACAGGGAGACCAAACAGGTAGCTGGAGCGATGCAGCTTCTTTCTTGGGGTGGAAGAGTGTGGAGTGGAGAGGGTTGTACAGCTGCTGCAGAATTGAATTCCTACATGGAACATAAAGAAGGAATTTCCGTCTTTTGGCTGTGAAGCTAGGTCCAAACGCTTCAGGTTTTTGTTTAGTTGCTTCTGTTTGTGAAGTAAGACACTGTTCACTTGACGAATCTCCCTGTATGTGGTCTTGGTGAGAATTTAGTGTGGGACACAGAACCATGTGAAAGAAATGTGCAGTCAGCAGCAGAGCAGGGCAGCAGCAAACACAGCACGGGCGGCCTATACGGGCAGTGTGTATGGGCTCCTCACTGCTGCCTTTGTGCACCCAGCTGTGATGAGCACATGGCACATATGTACCCATGCTGCGGGGGATGCCCAGTGCTAACCCCAGCACTTTAATCAACTTTCAGAGGGTTAAAATACCGGGCAAGGCTGGCAAAGGCCCTCTGGGCGGCCAGGGTGGAAGTTGAGCTGTGAAGGTGACAGTCAGGGAAGACCCGAGTGCCCTGAGGCAGCGAGGGGCAGCGCGGCTGCCGTGCGCTGTCCCCCGGCGCGGTCATTCCCTTCTCTCTGTTTCTCCCCACCCAGTTCTTCCTTCAATTCCACTTCAAAATGGAGAAGCCCCAGGCTCCCCCGACCAGTGCCACCTCCGCCAGTGCCACCTCAGCTGCCACCAGCACCCGGCGTGCCCCCCCCAGCTCCTCTGCCACCCATGATGAGGCCTCCGCTGCCCACCGAGGGGCCGGGCGCTATCCCCCCGCCGCCTCCCTCCAACTGAAGCCCCTCCTGGACTCAGTCCCACCGGACTCCTTTGGCTTGAGTTTTTTTATAGATGTATCAGAACTGATTCGGATAATTTTTTTTCCTTGTTTTATATCCCAGTGATTTTGACTAAATCCAGTAGATCCATTAAAAGGTTTTGAGCTTTGCTTTCTCCATTTCCCTGTGTCTTGGCTTAAAATGTTGCTTCGTGTTTACTTTCTTTAGTCTAAAAATATATAAAAACATTTTTGGTCTGGTTGTATGCCAAAAATTATCCAAACAGGAGAAAAAGAATTAGAAATCTCTAGGCACTTCACTCACTTCTACCTGAGGAAACTGTATTAACAATTCAGTTGTGTTAGGGCAACGTAGCTCCGTTTTAGATTGCTTGCTGTGTATTCTGTGAATATCCAGGTAGTCAATCAGTTGACATTCAGCTGTGTTCTATGTCAAACAGTTCATTTGGTGATGGGCAGCTCTTCATAGACTCACCAAAAGGGGTTTTACTTTATTGTTGTAGGACCAGCAATTGCAGTTGTGGACAGATTTTAAGGCAAGTAGAAGGTGCTAAATGCATTTTTTCCTCTGTCCATGCTGAGTTCCAGTGAACCTCAACGCGCTGCCGGGGCAGCATCAGGAACGTTTCGTGCCGCGTCCGAGCGCGGCTGCAGCGCAGGCGTTTCCAGCTAGAAACACGCGGCTCAGCTGAGCAGTGAGTGTGCCTGCTGCTCGGGAGTCCTTGGAAGCGCCGGATAAGATTAACTGGCAGTTCCAAACAGATAATCTTCCTTCGCTCACATGCAGCTGCCTAGTTCCTTCCCAGTGCTCGCTAGGCTGTTTATGGGCTTCCAAACCAAGTTTTTATTAATTTGTTGGTGCTCTCATTATCTTTGACAATGCCAGAGATTCTTGCAATGTTTAGTCAAAAGACTTTACCCAAACTGCAGTTACTGTTAAGCTCTTAGTTTATTGCTGTGATTCGTTAAAGTGTTATCTGTTTGCTTATGAAGCACCTACTGTCATTGTGTATGATTTTTATTGAATCATCCTCTCACAGGTAGATGAGTTGTGGCCAGCTTTTAGCCCTCTGCGTGTTTGTTTTTTTTATATATACTAAATATTTCTTAGGAATGATTGTTTGGTTCTCATTAAAAAGTAGAAGCAGCTCTGAGATTTCTCCTCTCTGCTTTCCAGGATTCATCTCATCCAAGCGGCGCGTCTCAGCACAGGAGCCCCGAGTGCCCTGTGGGTGAAGGGGCTGAGCTGGCGGAGCCTCGACTCGCTCTTTGCCAGGGTAATGGGTATAAATTAAAACACAGCAAGTTCCATCTCGATGTGAGGAAGAACTTTTCTGTGAGGGTGCCAGAGCCCTGGCACAGGCTGCCCAGAGAGGTTATGGGGTCTCCTTCTCTGGAGATCTTCCAAACCCACCTGGATGCCACCCTGTGCCACGTGCTTTAGGTGTCCCTTCCAACCTCAAACATTGTGGGATTCTGTGAGCATCTGGCTCTTCTGCTAGAGCCCTTGAGCTCTGTGTTCAAAACCTTTGCCTCTTCTGATGGCCTGGTGCAGATCCCACCCAATCTTGAAACAGAAAGATGTCCTGGATAGAGAGAAGGATTCCCTGGAGTGGGTTAGGTGGTTGCCATTATTAATTCCAAATACTATAGTGAATATTGGTGTCTAATTGAGGGAGAATCCTTATGATTCTCACACGTGTTTGAGACTTTCTAAGCCCTGACCTAGCCAAGTCTTAAGTACTGAAATGTCTCCTGCCACATCCCTTAAGTGCATTTTACATTTACACTTGTAGTTTCACGATGTCGGGCAGAATAGTTTTCAGGAGGAGCTGTATTAAGAGCCTCTCTCAGGTGGTCTTTCTGAACTGCAAAGTGCACAAGGTGGCTTATCAGTGAGGAAAGATGGAGTAAGAGAGAGAAAACTCTTTCTCCACACTTACTTCTTAGTTTCTTGCTGTTATCTCTCTTTATCCTTCTCCTCCTAGTCTGGCTAATTCTTCGTTAGTTTCTTGCTGTTATCTCTCTTTATTCTTCTCCTAGTCTGGCTGATTCTTCACCCCTAGTGTCTCATTGCTGGTGGGAGTAGTACGTACTAGTCTCCATGAAGACTCAGGTCTAGACTTCCATCCTCCTTTAAAAAAAACATCTGAAGTCAAGGACAGATGTCCCTACAAGAAAGGGAAACAGCTTTATTTATTTATTTTTTTTTTACGTTTCCAATACTACATGAAAACCCAAAAATAGAACAGAAAGTTTCTTTGAAACATCCCTCCCTCCTTTATAGCATGACAGCCTCTGTGCTCCTCAAGGGAGGTGTGTTGTGCGTTGTCAACTCAAGGCCACTGCCTTTTGAAAAGGGAGACGCCGTCCTCCCCTCCGCACAACCGCCTTGAGAGATGCCACTGAGCGAGCCCAGAGCCAGGAGCAGCTGAAGGGGGAACATGAGGGCGGCTCTCAAGGTGCTTCTGCAGTGCCTGGTGCTCTTGCTCCCGACCCTAGCACTGCCAAGGAAAGGGAGCACTGGGGACTGGCTCTCCCCTACGGAGGATCTAGAGCCACCTCTTTCAGCGGAGCTGGGACTCGAAGGAGAGGAGAGGAGAGAAAACACGAGTGTGCACGAAGGAGCGAGACCTGTCTCGTTGGCCAGATCAAAGGTGGCCGTTGCTGCTCGCCTCTTCTCCAAGACTGACCCAGGAGCAAGATGCCTCCAGGTGATCACCGAAAACAGGGGCATGAGCTGGGCTCGCTCCAGTCTTCACCCCTGGCCTCTCGGGGGGCTGGAAGGCCCAGTGTGCAGGGTGAAAATGGAGCAGGACGGGATGTCCCCGAGGCACCTGGAAGTCGTGGGTGTCCTCACCCGCTACGAGAGCCGCTTCATCAAGCTCTTGAGACAACGCGCCAGCTGGGAGGGAGCCGATCTCGAGACCTTTGGGATGTGTCCGCCGGGGGATGCGCACGCTGCCCTCCGCTCCCTGAGACACATCCGCGCGCACCTGGCCGAGCCGCGCGACGACCGCTTCCTCGTGCTGCACCTGGAGGAAGGTAGGTGCTGCCCCGAGCCTGAAGGAAGAGGCTTGAGCGCCCAGGCAGAAACCGTTATTTTATAATTCTAAACTAGAGATGCTGCCAAAAAAGAAAAAAAATTGCAAGGCTTTAAAATTAGTCGACATGTTTAAGAAACTCTTTTCCATTTATATTTTCAGGCAGCTGCAGTTTGAGCAGTGATGACAGTGTGTGTGCGATAATGTGCCTTGTCTTTGGCATGATACTGTGGTACGGGGGTGTTATCAGTGGCTTTTGTCCCCGTTTTGCTTTGCGTTAAGAGGTTTTCTCACATTCTGCCTAAATTATTTGGATTTCCTAGGCAGCCCGGGACTGATTCTGACTGCTGGAGAAAAGAGAGGAGCCAACTGGACCTGAGCGGTCCTGCCACAGAGTAAACTTTTCTCATCACAGCAACCGAAACCATGTGCCACTATTTCATGCTTAATATTGGCCTGAACATAATTTTTAGAGTTTGTTTCACATGTAGATCGAATATGCATATCAGTTCTGTTTTGAACATTAGTTACACGCTTGAGGGAGGACTGCCCTGTTCAATGCTTGGATTTAACCTGGCTTTCTGTTTAGCGAGAGGTTCACGGTTGCTTTTCCGGCCTTGGAAGTTATTTCCTCCCTCTCAGAGGTTTTGGATTTGCAGCTGAAGTCGCCGGTGTTGCTGGGCTGCGGATAGGGCTCTTAGCCGGGCAGTGCTGACCTGCGGCCCTGCAGGTGCTGACAACCAACCGCAAAGCGACGGCCGAGACCTTCCCAAGCCGCCGGAGGGACTAAACCTGGGGAAGGCTTTTCCTCAGGGTTTCTGTCTTAGAAATTTGCGGGAGGAATTCTGAGTGTGAGGCAGCGCTGGGGCTGCCCTGCTGAGCGCATCCCATCCTGGGAAGGGGGAAGGAGATTTGCAGCTGGGCGGCTTCCCAGCTCCGTGCTCTTCCTCGGCCACCGAAAGGTCCCACAGGGGTAACGTCTCCCACCAAGGGTCTCCGTTCAGCCCAGGTGCTGTTTCTGTCTTAGAAATTTGCGGGAGGAATTCTGAGTGTGAGGCAGCGCTGGGGCTGCCCTGCTGAGCGCATCCCATCCTGGGAAGGGGGAAGGAGATTTGCAGCTGGGCGGCTTCCCAGCTCCGTGCTCTTCCTCGGCCACCGAAAGGTCCCACAGGGGTAACGTCTCCCACCAAGGGTCTCCGTTCAGCCCAGGTGCTGGTTCAGAGGACAGTGACACCTTGGCCATGGGTGACTGTGCTGTGAAGTGACCAGCCCCGCCATGGAGAGGGAGCCGTGTCTGTGTGCCCGGCTCTTCCCCGCTGCGCAGGAGCAGGGGCCCCGGGCGCTCCCTGCTCCCCGCGCTCGGCTGCTCTTGGACTCACACTCCCTTTTCCTTTCAGTGACATGGGAGGCCCAGGCCAAGCTGCGCTTCCAGCTGCTTTTCCAGGCGGCCGTGGGGCGCTCGCTGGGAGGGCTGCGCTTCGCCCTGCTGCTCTTCTACGTGGGCAGAGGCGCCGCGGAGCCAGCGGAGCTGCTGGCGACCGG